CCCATCGCAACAACCTTCTCTTCTCACTCTTTTATATTTCTTTAAATAAAATTTCAGATTTGAACTATTCCTTATTATGTTCTTTAAGGATGATTCTACAATTTATTTCTTTTCTTTCTTTCTCTTTATTTCTTAATGTTCTCATATGTATATATGTGCATGTAACTATGCTCATTCTTTGCTATTCTTTCTAAATGAAAATCCTCAAATGTGAATCATATGGCATATAAGATATTATTATGGAACTAGTATTCTCTTCCAACAACATTTCCATAACAAAGTAATAATCTAACATACTCATATATATGCACTTTCTTTGACTTTTTATCAATACCTTAAACGCACAACAAACCCTAAATTGGTTACACTTCCACATATTTCTTAAGCCACCAAAAATTGGAGCAAAACTCCCTCAGACCAACAATCACCCTAGCAAACATGCCCATGGAGCCCAAGCAAGGCGATCCAAAAGCTAGCCATGAACCAAGTCTTACTGCATGTAATTAAAACCTTCATGGGGGAACTATTATCCAAAACATTTGAGTTTTTATTTTATCAAAAAATAAAGTTTGAATGACAGGATGCATCTTGACCCTCCTTATCCCACAGAACCCCGCTGCTCCCATGGGAGTCAGATGATCAAGACGTGTCATGTGTGAACACTAACATAAACTTTTGTAGACAGTCGAAAATTCTACTCTTAATCTTCACCGAAAACTTGCTAGACTTGAGAGCAAAGACAGAGAGAGAGAGAGAGAGAGAATGAACGCGAAGTCCTTGACTTCGGTGTGGTGTCTATCGTTAGCACTTCGACGCTCAAGTCAACACTAGCAGAAGGAGACTAAGTAAAGGAAATAAAGAATTAGAGGTAACATAAGTCACTATGAACGTGGAGCTATGGCACGAAAGCGTCATAGAGTGGTCAAAACTCGGCTCTATAGTGAGAATCGACAACGGTGAGTAAGAGTATGAGGAAAAATTTGGCAGTGTAAAAGTAAAGTTTGGAGTATGTTCTCATGTCCCTTTTGAGAGGGCTTACCTTGGTATTTATAAGAAGCTGAAGTGGTTAGAGCTTCCATGAGACTCGAAGTCCCATTGGAGAGTGAGCATCAACTCTACATTTGTTGACCTGGTAAAGATGTTCTAATCCCCTTTCGAGTATTGTGCTGCGTAGCTGGAGACCCAGAGTTTAATTGAGACTTGGTCATGGGATCTAATCTGTAGAGCTGACGCTAGGTTGCACGACTGATAGAATAGTCCAACCTGTAGACCAACCTGACTTGTAACGTGGTCGGGATTGTAGGTTGGCCCAATTCGTAGGGTGGTCCAAATCTTAGAGTGACCCAACTCGTGGAGTGAATGGGCTAGCCAGTAGAACAAACCAACTTTATAGAATGGGCCACCCCATAGAATGGATCTTCCATAGGATGGGCTTTGATGTAGAGTCAGTCATTTGTGGGCTGTGGCGTAAAGCCAATTGTAGTTGGGCTTAATCTAGGCTTGATACGAATTTTTACCCATACAACTTCCTTAAAACTTAATTACTTCTCCCCTTGTAGCCGGATGACAAACCCTTTAGCCACTAAGGTTAGCTATACCTAGGAAGTCTTGTGTTTGAGTCACGAGAGAGATACTTAGACATTTATACAATTACCTTGGTCCATTGGGCTTGTAGAGTATTCCGTAGCGCTGAGGATTATATAAGCTCCAGTGTAGACCTAGATACCTAAAAAAACTTCCTTAAAACTTTTTTTATCAGCAAAATGATTGATTTTTTTTTTTTTTTTTTTGGGGGGGAAATTATCGAATTATCTCATTAGCTACAATTATTAAAACAAAGCACTAGGTATGATACCTTACTCCAAATATAGAAATCTACATACCATAAATCTCTGGATGTTGAATTCTCATGCAATCAATATCCAAAAACATGTAATGTTCAATGCAAATGAGACTACATCACATGACCAAACCTTTAATTGAATTTGAATCAGTACTCAGCACGATTCCCTATAATGGCTTGGAGGAGGGAAAACTTATAAAAAAGAAAAGTGAGCTAAAAAGGCTCAATGAGTTGAAGATTTTATAAAATATTTTTTTTCTGAAAACCTTAAAGTATAAAAATAACTACTTATACTTTTCTGAAAACAATGTTTTTTAATTATGTTACAATCACCTGAATTATTTTTTATATACTGATATTAGTAAACTAGAAATATATTACCCCCTCGGTTTTTATATAAAAGTCATTTTAAGAGTGTTTTATTTTTTCAAATTAAAAGTCGCTCATTGTCTTGTCCTTTCTCCACTTTTCATCATAGCCCACATCTCTTCTGTCTTTTTTTATCTTATCTTATATCTTCCCCTTTTCTCCTCTCTTCCATATTTTCCATCGCGCACTTCTTCTTTCTCTACTCTGCGTCTCTCTTTTTTGAAACAAAGTTTAAAAACAGGATCCCCGACTTGGACTTTACCAGAGGTCAATTCTTCAACTTTAAGGAGCCACGTTTTGCCAGATTGCTGTGTGGAGTCGAGAGGTTCGAAGACGTAAATAAGACAAATGTAAATTATTTAAATATGCAACAGGAAAGTTTACCACCTGCAAAATCTTTTCCCACTTGCAAAATCAGGAGAAAAGTTGGGTGGGAGAGACAAAAATTCTTTTTATTAAAAATCGTGCTCAAACTTAAAACGACTTTTATATAAAAACGGAATGAGTATATGTTATTTGATTTTGTATTTATGATATCTAATATTTGATATTTAAACTGTTATTATTAATTGTTTACTTTATTAGCTCATCTATGATATAGTAAAATTGATAGTTGATAATGCTATGATACTGTAAAACTAAGAACTATCTAATATTGTTAAATTGAGAACTGATCTGATACTGTAAAATTAGTAATTGATACTGAAAACTCTCACTACAGCTAATACCCAGAGGATTTTAAACAGACCTAACTTGATCATACTGATTCTTATTATAAAAATAAGATTTTATGAAAGTTCTTTAAAAACAGACCTAACTTGATCATACTGATTCTTATTAAACTGAACAAATGTGAAAAAGTTGAACTAGAAATAGACGTCACCCACTTGAAGAATAGTATCTTAGAAATATTTAAATTCCTTTTCTAAAAGAAAAATGGCTAACTGAATAACAATTGCCAAACCTCAATTTTCTTAAACCAAATTTATGGAAAACTAAAACCTTCAACTATTCTGGAGACTTTCATAAAGCTTTGAAAATCACTACTTTGAGCATAATGTCTTCCAATTTTTCTAAAGATTAATTTGAATCTCTCTTATTACTTTTAGAACCGAAATTGGTTTTGGCTAACTCCTGAATAAATCAGGTTTATATAATGTTCAACCACAAATTCTATAACGTGGTAGGTATCTCTTATGCAGCTCGAACACAGGACCCCCAGGTATAACGAATCTCAATAGTTAAAGGGTTTGTCATCCGATTATAAGGAGAGAGATTAGTCATGCACTTTAATACTCCAATAAAAATATTATAAGCTTCAAGATGAAGTGAAATCTCAACTTTCAATAAATTTTAAGTATAGGGGGACATTGAAGGGTTAAGACTCATTATCTCCAGCTTGATTAGTGTGTATTATTTTTTTTCTATTAAGAAAAACATTTGATATCAACAAGATTTGAGTGTATATATATAATTTAATTATAATTTCGAAAATAAAATTCAGCCCTCTTAAAAATGTAAAGCAGTATATATAAATGGAACAGTTTGTTTCCATTAACGAAACCTCCTAAAATTAGGAATTTTAATTAAAAATTAATTTCAGGTCTCTAACCTAATGAAGATTTAGTTCCTTCAATGTTGGAGCAAATTAATTCAAGTACAATACATATATAAAAAGTAACAGATGTTTACTAATTACATTAATGATGGTTAGCATTCAAAGTAAACTACTTTTTCCCACCCAAATAATGGTTTAATGACATTTTCTTACCCACAAACTTTTAAAACACCACTTTACTATCCACATATATAATTCATTTTCGACTTCGACATTGTTGCGACCCCACACTACCACAATTCCCTTCCTCGATCATCATTCATCAAAACCCCTCAAACTCTTCTCCGGTTGACCTTGCCAATCATTGACAATCAAGTGATTAGGGTTTTTGCAGCCACACATCCTAAGTCAAATTTCGATCAATTTCAACTACAAAAATTCAACCTTCTACTACCAAAAGACTCATTGTCATTCCTCTTCAAAAGCCCTAACAGTCTAGACCGAGTTTGCTCTCTATTCGCCATCGGAATATAAATTTGGATAATAAAATAGTATTTTAAAAGTTTATCAATGAGAAAGTGTCAATAAACCATTATTTGGGTGGAAAAAAGTCTTTAACTCTTAACATTCAAGATTCTTTAATTACTAAGGCCCCCAAAATATATTATGTTTCATATAAAAGTCATCATAATTTTGACTTAAACTAAGCTACAATTAATTGTCCTAATTAAGATTGTATAAATTTAGAGTCAAAAGAAATGAAAAAAGGAAATTACTTTAACATATATTCATCATATGGCTGTTAGCTGCTGTAACTAGAAGCAGAAGAACTCTTTGCTTTCCCAATTCTACAATTTGATATGGGAATTTAGTTAACTACAATTACGGCATAATATGCCCATCGCTATACTATTATAAGATCAATTGAATAATAATATATTTGTGCTTGATATATATATAAACCCTAAATTGTTACCATTTTTACGGGTATGGAGCATAATCCAACGTTGTCAGGAATTCCATTGTCAAGTTAGATTAACAAATTAACAGTAAAGATCTTGTTTGTGCAGGCAACAACTTCCTACAAGAAACTGTTTTCCAGCTTTTGACCCCTTCCTTTTTATCTATTGTTTCCATTCACATTCTTCATTCATTCAATTATTCTAATACAATTTCCTTTCTCCTCTTCTAGATTGAATTCTTTCTTCTTTTGTATTCGATACTCTGAATATGAAAAACATTACAGGCGGCCATGGAAAATACCCTATTGAGAGTTGCATTGTTCTTCCTCCTAAGATCAGCTCCGCTGGCTTGTTGAGGGAATTTGATGATAAGAATTATAAATGGCTTGATTATGCATCTCCAAGACTTCAATTGATCATAGTTTTGATCTTTGTCATCACTCAAGGCTTTCATTCTGTGCTCAAACATTTAGGCCTACCACTCATAACCTCCCAGATCATTGTATGTCCAAATCTCAGGAATTTCAATAAAATTTTCTATTTTCATTTAATATTTGAGCTACTAATCTGTATTTTTTTTTTTTCCCTAAACCAGGCTGGTGTATTATTATCTGAAGCAATATTTCCAAAACAATGGTCAGATATTCTGATGTCTCAAGACAATGTACAATTGCTTGGCACCATAGGGGAGTTTGGCTATACATTTTTTATGTTTCTGAGTGGAGTGAAAATGGATACGAGCATGGTAACCAGCGGGGGAGCAAAGCCTTGTTATCTGGCTTTTTTAACGGTCGTCGTGCCGATGATATACGCTGTGTCAAGCATAGTAATATCGAGCAACAAGCACAAAGAATTAACCAGCATCTTGAGCATTTCACCAATGTTTTATAGGACATGCTTTCCAGTCATTCACTGCCTTCTCACAGAACTGAAAATCCTCAACTCAGAACTTGGCAGACTCGCACACTCAACCGCGATTATTGCTGACTTCTTTAGTTTTATTTGTGTACTTGGCGTCTCTGTTGCTTTAGGAACAAGTCAAGGAATTCCTACAGCCCTCTCTGGTGAAGTAAGAATTGTATTGTTCTTCATTTTAATTGCTATGATTGTGCTTCGACCAGCAATGCTGTTGATGGTGAAATTAACCCCTGAAGGGCAGCAGGTTAACCAAACTTGCATTTATTCAATAATAGGGCTGTTTCTGATCAGTATGAGGCTTATTCCCGATGTGTTTAAGAAGTTTTACCTGTTGGTGATTTATGTTCTTGGTTTGGCTGTCCCACATGGACCCCCATTGGGATCTGCTCTAGTGGAGAAATTTGAGTGTATGAATTCTAGCTTTTTTGTGCCAATTTTTGTCACAACATGTTCCATGAGATTACAGAAGTTTACTTTTGATTTCAGAAACGAAATGGTAAAAGAGCATACAGTTATTGCTACAGAGACTTTATTGGTAAAATTTTTGTCATGTTTGGGGCCATTGCTCTATGGGCAAATGCATAAACGTGATGCATTTGCTCTTGCTCTCATATTGAGCGCCAAAGGAATTGTTGAGCTAGCTGCCTATACCTTCATGAGTGATGGAAAGGTATTTAATCAACCTTGACGTTAATCTAAAACTCCATTTTAATTCAATCAAATCAAAGTAGTCACAATTTTGCTTTACTTTCAAATGCAGGCTCTCACTCCAGAATTATTCCAGGCAGGACTTTTCTTTCTCACTTTCAGTGCAAGCATTGTGCCTGCTTTGGTGAGAAAATTGTATGACCCTTCACGGAAATATGCAGGCTATCAAATAAGCAAGATCATGGATGTCAAGCTTGATGCAGAACTGCAAATTGTTACTTGCATTCATGCTCCAAACAATGTCACATCAGTCATCAACATGTTGAACATCTCATATCCAACAAAAGGAAGCCCTCTAGCTGTTAGTGTACTTCACCTTGTCAAGCTCAGTGGGGTTGCAGCCCCAATTTTCCTTTCCCATCAAAACAGAAGCAAAAGTCTCACTGGTTACTGGTATTCTGAAAATGTCATTCTTTCTTTCAAGAAATTTGAGGGAAATCATTTGGGAGCTGTAACATTGAATGCCTTCACAGCTATCTCTCCACCAGAGTTCATGTATGACGATATCTGCACTCTTGCACTTGACAAGCTTGCCTCTCTTATCATCCTACCATTTCACAGAACATGGTACATTGATGGCTCACTCGATTCCCAAGACAACACTATCAGGAATCTAAACATCAGGGTCCTGGAAAAATCACCTTGTTCCGTAGGAATCCTCATCGATCATGGCAACATAAGGCGACCCATCTATCCGGATGCACCAGCAGAATCATACTCCAAGATTGCTATGCTATTCTTCGGTGGCAAAGATGACCGTGAGGCGTTGACACTAGCCAAAAGAATGGCTGCGAACACCAAAGTCAGGCTTACAATAGCACAATTTATTGCCAAGAATGATGATGGGCAAGTAGACTGGGAAACAACTGTTGATTCTGAGTTTCTTAACGATGCTAAGAGCACTGGATATACTAGCTACATTAAGCACATCGTAAACGATGGGCGGGAAACTGTGAACATTGTTCATTCCATGGTGAATGAATTTGATCTCATCATCGTTGGGAGAAGATACAACATTGAAGATCCACGGACTTCAGGACTCAAAGAGTGGAGTGAGTTTCCAGAGATTGGAGTCATGGGAGATTTGCTTGCTTCAAAAGATTTAACTGGGAAATGTTCAGTCTTGGTTGTGCAGCAACAACATATAGTTTAATTAGTTTAGAAAAATCCCAGTGATAACTTTGGACAAAACAGGAAATTTCTTTAGTTTCTAATTTGATTTGTGTAAATATCCCTTAGACATATCAATTGGAAGATTGATTCCAAATATCAAAATTGAGATTTTTTTTTTTTTTTTTTCCTCGTTATTGATAGGAATTTTAGCAGGGGCATAGCCTAGGGTTGCAAACGAACCGAACAGTTTGCGAACAATTTGATGTTCGTTCGATAACTGTTCGACACTGTTCGCTAACAGTTCGATGTTCGTTCGATAATATTTTCGATCGAGTTTGAACATGAGATGTTTGTTCGATTATATTCGCGAATATTATACGTTCGACTGATCCATCCGTTCATAAACAATCTATTCGATTGTTCGTTCGTTTATGTTCAAAAAACATGGTATGCATTATTATAATTTATATTATATTTGGTTTAGTTTGGATGAATTTTTTTTAATGGTAATCAATAATAAAATATTATTATACTTTTGTTTTTCTTATATATAATATGTTTGGATTTTTTTTTCCAAATGTCATTAATAATTAAATATATAAGTATATAGCATTTTAATGAAAAAGTAATAAATTATTATGATACATAACATGACAAATTTAATAATATAATAGATTGTATAATCAAGTGATATATAATATAGTAAATCTAATAACATAATTGCTTCATATTTTTCCAAATGTAATCAATAATTAAATATTATAAGATAGCATTTCAATTAATAAATAATAAATATAATATGGTAAATTGATGAATATAACATACTGTATAATATAACATAACAAATTTAATAATATAATAGTTTAGTTAAATATAGTATGGTAAATTGATGAACATAACATATTGTATAATTAAGTGATATATAGCATGACAAATTTAATAATATAATAGCTTAATTAAATATAATATGACAAATTTATGAACATAATATATTGTATAATCAAGTGATATATAGCATGACAAATTTAATAATATAATAACTTAATTAAACCTAAATTAATCATATATTTGTATTGATCATTTATTACAATAAACTCTCGTACCACCATAAATTTATAGGTGTTGATACAAAATATATATGTAGACAGTTATTCGAACAAGTTGGTGTATATTTTTTATTCGAACAAGTATTTATAAGTTATCAAACGAGTTATTTGAACAGGTATTTACGAGTTGGTCGAACGAATTAGTCAAACGAACACGAACTAGCCTTTTGTTAATCGAACGAATACGAACAGTCATCCTGTATTCGTTCAAGTTTGAACACGAAATCGAACAATCGAACATGCTTATCGAACAAGTTTCGAACGGGGCTATTCGTTCTTCGGTTTGATTGCAGGCCTAGTAGCCTGAAAATTTTTGCAGCAGAGGTTAAACTTTTTCTTTTTCCAAATACAAAACTTGTAGAATTAGATTTTTTTTTTTTTTTTTTTTTTTTAAAAGTAACCTTAATGGTATTAATGTGATTCATTTATTGTGATTCGTTCTAGAAATCTAGTAAATTACTTCGTTGTCATCGAAACCAAAAAACCAACGCACTTAACTTAGAGCCACATAAATCATCATGTTCATAATCATGTAATATGATTTAGTTAACTATTTTATCCCACCCAAATAATGGTTTAATGACACTAATCCACCCACATACTTTTAAAATACCACTTTATTACCCAAATTTATATTCTGATGGCGAATAGAGAGCAAATTCAGTTCAGACTGTTAGGGCTTTTGAAGAGGGAAGGTCGATGAGTCTTTTAATGGTGAAATGTTGGATTCTGGTGGTTGGAATTGATCGGAACTTGACTTGAGAGGGGTGGTTACACAAACCTCAATCGTTCGATTGTCGATAATTGGCGAGATCGACTGGAGTAGGGTTTGAGGGGTTTCGGTGAGTAATGATCGAGTTAAAAAGAATGGTGGTGATGTAGAGTCGCAACAATGCTAGAATATAAATTTGGGTAATAAAATGGTATTTTAAAAATTTTACAGGTGGAAAAGTGTCATCGAATCATTATTTAGGTGGGAAAAAGTCGTTTACTCTATATATATATATATATATATATGAATGACTCGTAACATGCAACATAAATTTATGGCATCCTAAATAATGACTAATAACTTTAAAATATGACATGTAATATTAAACCTAAAAAAATTTCATACCATCTTTACGGTATCAAACATGACCCAACATTTTCCAAAATTCAAGGAAAACAATCCAATTCAATCCTTTCTCGACAATAATATAGTATTGATTCGATAATGTTATCAAACCGGTTCAATCTTCGTAACCCTATGGGCTGTAGTGCTACTTTCCATCCAATATAAGTTATCTTTAAGTAAGATAATGAATAGCTAAGATGTCCTAAATTGTTGCAGAAGTTCGCAACAATGTGATGAGAATCATTAATTGTATAACAGAAAAGTTTATCTTAAAAGAGTAGTGAAAATTCTTATATATATATATATATATATGATGAGATGAACAGCAGTAGTGGCACTTCAGTTCCACTGTCAATTTAGTATAGCAAATTAACAGTAGATCTTATTTGTGCAGGCACCAAATTCATACAAGAAAGTGCACTTGATTATGGCTGAGAATAACTGGAGATGTGTAAAATAAGCTAAAACAGCAACTGTTTCCAAGTTTTAAGCCCTTCCTTTTTATCTACTATTTCCATTCTCCTTCTGATTCTTCAATCAATTTCGACACAATCTCTTCTCTTCTCTTCTAGATCGAATTCTTTCTTCTTTTGTTTTTGATACTCCAATATGAACAACAGTGCAGGCGGCCATCAGAGATACCCAACTGAGAGTTGCATTTTACTTCCTCCTAAGATCAACTCTGATGGCTTGTTGAGGGAATTTGGTGATAAAGATTATAAATGGCTTGATTATGCATCTCCAAGACTTCAGTTGATCATAGTTTTGATCTTTGTCCTCACTCAAGGCTTTCATTATGTGCTCAAACATTTAGGCCTCCCAATCATGACCTCCCAAATCATTGTATGTTAAAATCTCGGGAATGTCAATAAATATTTCCATTATTTGAGGTACTAATTTGCATTTCTTTTTATTATAAACCAGGCTGGTGTATTATTATCTGAAGCAGTACTTCCAAAACAATGGTTAGGTATTTTTATGTCAGAAGACACTGTACAATTGCTTGGCACCTTAGGGGAGTTCGGCTATACAGTTTTTGTCTTTCTGAGTGGAGTGAAAATGGACATTAGCATGGTAACAAGAGGTGGAGCAAGGGCGTGTTATCTAGCTGTTATATCCACCCTAGCACCGATGATATACGCCATGTCAAGCATAGTAATGTTCAGCCACCACCAGAAAGAATTAACTAGCATCTTTTATATTTCACCATTGTTTTATATGACATCTTTTCCAGTTATTCATTGCCTTCTTATAGAACTGAAAATCCTTAACTCAGATCTTGGCAGACTAGCACACTCAACCGCGATTATTGCTGACTTTCTTGCTTTTATTTGTATAATTGGCGTCTCCGTTGCTTTAGGAACGATTCAAGGAATTCCTAGATATGTTGTTATTCCTGAACTAGGAACTATACTCTGCTTCATTTTTACTGTTGCGATTGTGCTCCGACCAGCAATGCTTTTGATAGTGAAATTAACCCCTGAAGGGCGGCAGGCCAATCAAACTTGCATTTACGCAATAGTGGTGGTGTTCCTGATCAGTCTGAGGCTTATTCCTGAAGGGTTTAATAAGTTTTCCCTCATGGTGATTTATGTTCTTGGTCTGGCTGTTCCACATGGACCCCCATTAGGATCTGCTCTGGTGGAGAAATTCGAGTGTATGGCTACAGGTTTGTTTGTTCCAATATTTGTTACAACATGTTCCATGAGATTGCAAAGGTTAACTCTTGATTTCAGAAACGAAATGGTAAAAGAGTATGCAGTTATTGCTAGTATGACTTTACTAGTGAAATTTTTGTCATGTCTGGGGCCTTTACTGTATAAGAAAATGCATAAACCTGATGCATTTTCTCTTGCTCTCATATTGAGCGCCAAAGGAATTATTGAGCTAGCTGTCTATACCTTCATGAGTGATGGAAAGGTATTTAATCAACCTTGACAGTTAATCTAAAACTTCATTTTAATTCAATCAAATCAAAGTAGTGACAATTTTGCTTGTTCCTATATCAAACGCAGGTTCTGTCTCCAGAAGTTTACCATGCTGGACTTGTTTTCGTAACATTCAGTGCAAGCATTGTGCCTGTTTTGGTGAGAAAATTGTCTCGTGATCTTTCGGAAATATGCAGGCTATCAAATAAGGAAAATTATGGATGCCAAAATTGATGCAGAACTGCAAATTGTTACTTGCATTCATATTCCAAACAATGTCACATCAGTCATCAACATGTTGAACATCTCATATCCAACAACAGAAACCCCTCTAGCTGTTAATGTGCTTCACCTAGTCAAGCTTAGTGGGGTTGCAGCCCCAATTTTCCTTTCGCATCAAAAGAGGAGTAAAAGCCAATCTGGTTACTGGTATTCTGAAAATGTCATTCTTTCTTTCAAGAAATTTGAGGGAAATCATTGGGGAGCTGTGACATTGAATGCCTTCACAGCTATCTGTCCACCAAAGTTTATGCATGATGATATCTGTACTCTTGCACTTAACAAGCTTGCCTCTCTTATCGTCCTCCCATTTCATCGAACATGGTACATCGATGGCACACTCGAATCCGAAGACCACACCATCCGGAATCTAAACCTTAGAGTCCTAGAAAAAGCCCCTTGTTCTGTAGGAATCCTCATCGATCATGGCAATATAAGGCGACCCTTTCACTCAGATGCACCGGCAGAATCACACTCCAATGTAGCTATGCTATTCTTCAGTGGCAACGATGACCGCGAGGCGTTGACACTAGCCAAAAGAATGGCTCGGAACAAGAAAGTCAGGCTTACAGTAGCACAATTCATTGCCAAGAGTGATGAGGGCGAAGTAGACTGGGAAAAAATTCTTGATTCCGAGGTTCTCAGGGATGCTAAGAGCAATGAATATATCAACTATATTAAGCATGTAGTAAACGATGGACGCGAAACAGTTAACGTTATTCATTCCATGGTGAATGAATTTGATCTCATCATTGTTGGGAGAAGATACAACATTGAAGATCCACAGACTTCAGGACTCAAAGAATGGAGTGAATTTCCAGAGATTGGAGTCATGGGAGATTTGCTTGCTTCAAAAGATTTAACTGGGAAATGTTCAGTCTTGGTTGTGCAACAACATATAGTTTAATTAATAAGTAATGTTAAATATACAAAATATTACTCTAAACTAAAATGAAAATATTGCATGTTTGTCAAGTAAAAAATATTAAAAATATAAAATAAAATTAAAAAATAAAAATAAAAAAAAAAAAATAAAAAAAAAAAGATAGTATAAAAAGTTTATATATAAAGTATTAAAGTTTTTCATCACATAACAATAAAACCAAATTTATGTGATACCAACTTAGCATTAATATTATAAGCCTTGTTACATATAATGTAAAGAGTCATAACATGGAAATATAGTAAAATCAGTGTTTTAAAACCCGACCTAATCCGGCCAATTGAACCAGTTCAACTGGGACTCACAACCTTCACCAGGTCAGGTTACACATTTTCCTATTCATTGAAAACCCTAGAAATTTAAACATCAATCTGTAAACAATTGAGGGCTATAATGTTAGGGCTTTTTGGTGAGTGAATCAACTGGCGATTGGGGAGGTGAATGGGGGAGGTGTGAGATGAGTTTTGGTCAAGAGGCTGAGGGGAGTGTTGTCGTTGCTGGAAACGTGCCTTATTTGTCGACGCCGACGATAGTATTTGGGATGTTTTTGCAAGATTTCAAACCTATAATGAGTTACAATAATTTTTAAGGGTATTTTTGTTAGATTTCAAACTTTTGGACATCAATTTGACCCTCCGATCAACCTAGGACCCAATAACTTTGTCAGGTTTCACCTTGGGTCGGGTTTTAAAACATTAAAATAAAGTAATGATGACTAGCTTTGAAATAAAACATGTAATATTAAACGTAAACAAATTTCATACCACTTCTATTGGTATCAGACATTAATCGAAAATTTTTCAAAATTCAAGGAAAAACAAAAATATAATTGAATCCTTCCTAGACATTAATATAAAACTAGTTCGACAATGTTACCAGCACGGTATCGTAACCCTATGGGCTTTATCTGTTTTGTTGGTCATTGGGCGGAACCAGCCCAATTGACAGTTCTTAAGGATCATTGGTGCGGCCCGATTAACAGTTCTTAGGCCCATTTTATTTTTCTCTTCTCTTAATTGGCAATCATCCACAAGGAGGTCGTCTTCTTACTTACTCCATTCTCGGCTCAGCTTTGTATCGAAACTGCATCGTTTCTGTCCTGGCCTTCGTCCTCATAAAGGTTTGATTTAATTTCCCAAGAGATACAATTTGGTTAGGATTTTTTATAAGTCAATTCATACGCTTGATTGATCATGTTTTATTTCCTACATTTCGTGTTCTCAGATTTATTCACTAATTGTTTGATCGATTAATTTTAATTGATTTGATTTGATCTATCACTAATTGATTCAATGTATCTGAATTTAGGGATTTTTTTTTTATATATATTTCTGTAAGGATCCAATATGATCAATAGAAGCTTTCTTTTTCATTTTTGTTATGATATTTAGATTTTGGTCTATTTGGTTTTTGAGAAGACGTTAGGAAAGTGGAAACTTTGAATTTTTAGATGTTCATTTTTGGTGCCCAAAAGGTTAAAAAGTATATACTTGCATCGTACTTTTAAGTTTATAGCATTTTCTCAGCAAACAAGCAAGAGGGTTTGTGAGTAAGAAGGGAAAGAATTTTTTTTGTAATGGAATCAATTTTTGGGTTATTTTTTGTAGGGACCCATTCGAGGGAAGAATATTTTGTAATTGTTAAAATTGTAGCTTAAAAATTGGAGAAAATGCCTTCTTTGAAGATTGAACCTGGTCATGAAGACACAGTCCATGACGTGGCAATGGATTACTATGGTAAGCGCATTGCCACTGCATCGTCAGACTACTCAATTAAGATCATAGGTGTGGGCAATAACACCTCTCAGCATTTGGCTAAGCTGAATGGTCACAAAGGACCTGTTTGGGAGGTGGCATGGGCTCACCCGAAGTTTGGATCACTACTTGCTTCGTGTTCCTATGATGGGAATGTCATAATATGGAAGGAGGGTAATAATAATGAGTGGAGTCAAGCTCATGTCTTTGATGACCATAAATCTTCGGTCAATTCAATTGCTTGGGCTCCTCATGAACTCGGTCTATGTTTGGCTTGTGGTTCATCTGATGGGAACATATCAGTTTTTACTGCAAGAGCTGATGGTGGCTGGGATTCATCAAGGATTGACCAAGCTCACCCAGTTGGTGTGACTTCTGTTTCATGGGCCCCATCAACGGCGCCTGGTGCACTTGTGGGTTCTGGCTTGCTTGACCCAGTTCAGAAGCTTTGCTCGGGTGGTTGTGATAACACTGTGAAGGTGTGGAAGCTGAACAATGGGCTTTGGAAGATGGACTGCTTTCCAGCTCTTCAAATGCATACTGATTGGGTTAGAGATGTCGCTTGGGCACCCAACCTGGGGCTTCCAAAATCTACTATTGCAAGTGCCTCCGAGGACGGAAGAGTTATCATATGGACTGTGGCCAGGGAAGGAGATCAATGGGATGGTAAGGTGTTGAATGACTTCAAGACCCCTGTTTGGAGAGTCAATTGGTCAATGACTGGAAACATATTGGCTGTGGCTGATGGGAACAACAATGTAACATTGTGGGAAGAAGCAGCAGAGGGGGATTGGCGACAGGTGACAGCAGTTGAGCCATAGAACTTAAAAGTTTTTCGGTTCTCTCATGTACTGCAGGATCATGTTTCAGATCCTCATTATTACCTTCTGTTAGGAATTCATGACAAAAAATTAACTTCTGTTGGGACTCTTCACGTGAAACCTTGCTTCTTTTTACATTATTGCGTAGTTTCAGTGATATTTTATGGAAATATTTGAACTTTAAAGTTTTGAACTTTTAACTTCTATGAAAAACCTCAGTTTTATGTCATGAAGACAGATATGTGGTTTCATATGAGATACTCAGATACTTGTTCCAACTCTTAAGAAGACCATCTGGATATTTTTTGTGAATGTTCAGTTTTGTTTTTGTTTTACCAGATAATATGTATTTGATCCATATTCCGTAGCTTCCCTGTATATCTGTTTGTCAACTTTATGGGATGTATCTGATGAATGACTGTAATTATATGTTGGTTCTTACTATTTCTATTGCTTGTACATCAATTTATAATCAGCTAAATACTTTAAGAAATAATTTTGTGGTGCTAGTTACCTCTGCTTGGTTTTCAATCTAAAGATGATTGATCATATCATAGGAGGTCTTTTGATCCTTTGATGCTATTATCAGTCACTGATGGAACGAGGGTGGGGTACATGAATTTGAGCTATTTAAGTTTTCTGTTCAAGGAAATGGTAAAAGTTCGACTTAGAAATGGGTCAATGTTTGTGTTAAACTTGAGAAAGTTGATTAGGGTTCCAATACCATTAGTAAGACATGAGTATGTGCTAATAGTAAACAGATTTTATTCTTAACTCTCTATACAGAACCTTTAATTAAAGTTTGCATCAAGTTTAGGTTATCAGGACTATTGTAGATTACTCAGTAGCAGTGAGATGTTAGTCGAAAGCAACAGTTTGCCCTTGGCATTCGTAGCACAGATTATGTATTGAGATATGAGCATTTATGTTTATGTATTGAGATAGGAACAGGTTTATGTGAAGTCTAGGGGCTGCTTCTAAAACTTCTTTTTCCGGGTGCCAGAGGCAGTATTTTCCGAACCGGGAAAATGGTGGGCAGCTTGCTTACCACTTTGTTCCATTGATCGTTAAACGTAAGTTTGGGTAGTTCATGTGATTCTCGGGTAAAAGAAAAGTTTGGAGTTTCCATAGAAGATGTTTTACCGAAGTATGCAATTTTTAGTTTCTGGGATCAACTTAGGACATTTGCATTAAGAATTTAAATTATCTAACAGTGTCTCCATCTTTGAGACACAGAGGGCTATTAGATGAAGGGCCAAGGCAAAGCATTTAATACTTTGCATATGGATGTTTATCTCTCGTCTTGATTATTTGTTTTGACCTTAAATGGGGTCAATAGAGCTCATCAAATCTAGATACAAGATACTCAAATTTCATATCCCACAAACTGTAGTGCCTTCTATAGGATCTCCATTACTTAAACCAATGATGGGACGATAGTGAGATGACTACATGGAAAGAAGTTTCTTGTAAGTGGGTTTAGTTCAATGTAAGAAGCTTTGAAATGTTTATGTTTAGATACAGGTATCATATCTTTTACCAATTTTCGATACAAATACGATTTATCATCTTTGCACTGAATTTATTATATAATATTCTAATCTTATCGACAAATATGTAATATATAATACTTTTTAGTTCTTACTTCTTACTCACCTCCTTTTATGGGGTTCATAGAACTAGGATTAAAAATATAAAATAGTTATTTAAAAATATTAAAAACCCTTAAAAAAAACCTTGAGATTATTAGGAATAAAAAAAAAGACATTATAACCTTACTATGATGTATATAGTAATATCCCTAAATTATATTTAGTTGTACACATTAATAAACTAAGTTAACTATTTCTGGGTGGTCGAGTGATTCGATAGAGACTCTTAGGTATATTACTCTAAAGATCCTAAGTTCGAATCTCTCCTGTAGTGCTAATAGGGGTAGCCACTAGAACTCTTATCCGGTCAATAGTTTTAGGATCCTGAATGATTAATTGAGGTGCGTGTAAGCTGGCCAGACACTCTCGATCATTAAAATAATAATAATAATAATAATAATAATAAACTAAGTTGAGTGCAACCAAAACCCATGTAAACTCTTAATTAGCCTTAATTTTGAGCAAGCAAATTTAGTACCCTTAATTAAGAAGTAGAACACTTTGAAGGGCAATAATTGAGAAAATAAAATAAAAAAACAAAACTTGAGAGTTCAATAATTCAATTGAACCCCAAGTTCAAAGGCAAAATATCAAGGGAGAAAGGCACGTGCGGGTGGGTGTGCAAAGCAGGTGACCAATGAGCACGTGCAACCATGTTAGTAGGTGTAGACATGCTAAGCACAACGCACGTGTGAGGAAGCAAGAAAGGAAAGTGAGGGGCATAATGACTCAGTTGATTCCTGCCACTTGGCATTTGACCCACTCTCATTGGCTGGATTTTCAAAACCTCAAAGTACTCACATGATTGCTGACAGCATCCACCTCCTCTGTCACGTGTCCGTGGACCCACTTATTACTAACTAACTAACTAATTAATTAATTAAATTAAACTTAATTAGCTTTAACTAACCTTTTTAAAGATTTTACTGCTTGCATCCTTAGGATGGGCAGTCCCTTTACTAATCTTATTATATTATAGAACTACTAATCAATCATTAGATTCATTAATAATAAAATATTATGTAAAATCAATTAATTTATTATTTAAAATTAACTCAATAAATTTAGAATTTATTACATATTATGATTTGAATTCAATTAAAAGAATTTCTCTTGATGTTAATAAATAATTCTAATTCTGATTAAACATAATACGCCGTCGTTTTTCTCACTTTCACACTTCTCTTCTCTATTTTCTAAATTCTTATTTTAATAAATCCTAAAATATTAAAAGATGAATTAATTTCTATTAATAAAAAAAGGGATAAGGTTCGTATGTAGTAATAAATAATATAACTAGCTAACCTTATCCAATTACCAAGCTGCAATTAACATTAACATTGGGATTTGTGTCCAATAATACACCCTGTAGTGTCGGTAAAAATACAGATTAATTAATTTTTTATTACTGAATTGTTAATTCTTAAGCATCTCGGCTCTTCCAATGATTTAAAGGCTTTAATTAAGCTTAGGAATAATTTTGCATGTGAAAATAACCCCCTTGCTCATGTCATGGGTGGAAATTTCAAATGACTTCACTTTTTTTTTTTTTTTACTAAATGACATTTTCCCACGCAAGGTTTGGTCTAAAGACATTTTCCCATCTGAAAAGTTTAAAATCGACACTATCCCACCCGCCCACGGTTAACTTTAATTGAAAAAGATAAAATGGTAAATTCAACAAACAGTCAAAAGGTAACTATGTTTTTTACCCCCTATATATAAACTTAGGGGAAAAAAAACCCTAAATCAAACCCTTTTACCTTTCTTCCCCACCCCTTGAGTCGCACTTGGTTGGGTGCGATTTTGGCTGAATCGCACTAAATCCTCCACCCCCAATCACACCAAATCTGCCCCAAATCTAGTGCCATTGGGCTAGCAAGATTCCGACCAATTGTTGAGCTTAGAGCCAAAATGGGTTGAAGAAAGAGTAATGGCTCATGGTGGTGGTGGGATGGTGGCTGATGGGTGCGTGGTAGAGGGTGGGGTGCAATTTGGTTAAGGTGATAGGGATACGATGTGGTAGGGTGATATGGAGGTGATGTCCATTGGTGGTTGTGGGATAGGGCTAGGAATAGGAATAGGCGGCGGGTGGGCTGTGGATGTTGGAAGCAATTTGCTTTGTGTGGCTAATGTGACGACTGTTTAGGGGTGGGTTATAATTTGGGTGTGACGGAGATGGGTTGGGATCGGGGTACTGTGGTGGTGGTGGAATGATGGCCAATGGGTGCATGTTGGGCAACGAAGACGTTGCGAAAGAGACAGAGATCGTTGAGTTCGTCAGACATTTTGTGTGAGAAGAATGATGGTGGGATGACAGTGAAGGCATAGAGGGGATATGTTGGGATCGTCGGATGGTGGTTGATGGTTGCATGGTAGAGGTGGGTTGCAGTTTGGTTAAGGTGATGGAGTTCAAGTTTGGGTATGAATTTGAATTTGGATTCAAATAATAAATGGTAGTTTCATCTTTACATTGATTATACCATATCAGTTAACAAATATAACTAACTGATCTTAACGATGGGTCGAAAAGTATCATTTTGAAACTTTTCGGGTGAAAAAGTGTATTTAGGCCAAACCTTGAGTGGGAAAATGTCATTTACTCTTTTTTTTTTTTTTTTTATCTTATAAATGTTAATAAATAAGTCGAGATAAATAAATCATGTATTATATTAACAAATATGATAATTTAACATTATTCAACAAATTCACATAACATTTTAGAATATTTTTTAACTTGAAATACTCAATCATTTAAGCAAAAATAATCGACCATTATAATTATATAGTTTACAATCCTATTTTTATTACACAACTTGTTATAGGACTTAAAAACAGTTAAACAGTATGTAAATAAAATCTTTTTTTGGTGGAGTTATTAGGATTATTTATATATCCTGTGAAACCGACTAATATTAAATGCATCAATAATTATGATAAAATATCAAATATCTCTTATTAGAAGGTTTCTTTATAATACTTTATAGAGGTTAATGAATTAATTTCCTCCACCTAATAAAGATTGATAAATATTAAACGCTCAAACAATTTTAAAACATTAATAGTATATAAAATAGTTAACGACTTTTTCCTACCCAAATAATAGTTTAAAGATATTTTTTCACTCATAAACTTTTAAAATATCACTTTATTACTCAAATTTATATTCCAACACTGAACAGATAGCAAACTCGGTTCAGGTTATTGGGGTTTTTGAATAGAGAAGACCGATGAGTCTTTTGGTGGTGAAAGGTTGATTATAGTGGTTGAGATAGATTGAAATTTGACTTAGGAGGGACGGTTTCACAAACCTTAATCGTTCGATTGGTGAGGTCGATAAGAGTATGGTTTGAGGGGTTTTGATGAGTGATGATCGGGAAAAAGAATGGTGGTGGTGTGAGGTTACAACAATGCCGGAATTGAAAACGAAATATAAATATGAATAATAAAACAGTATTTTAAAAGTTTATGGGTAAAAAAATGTCATTAGGTCATTATTTAGTTAAAAAAAAAGGTCGTTTACTTTATATAAAAACCATCCCTATGACTAACCTCATAGGGTATAAAATAAACCTGATTTTAAAAATCGAAAATGATTTTTTTTTAAATAATTATAGGAATAAACAATATTTTTCTATAAATAAATCAGAATTATAAAGAAT